CTCGTGCGTATCTTACCGTGGATGTGACATTCAATGATGTTAAAGGTATGCCGAACTCGTAAGAGAGGAAAGTTGTTATTAATTATATTTTCTGCTTCTATCCAAAGGATACGTTCAAGTCGTTGATAAAATGCCGTTTCGTGTGCATCTATTTTCGGAACCACAAATCGAACGATATATCAGGTACTGTAACAAAGAGGAATATTCTTACGTTCATAGTGATGCTACAGGAAGTGTGCATGGCACATATAGCATGGCATTTCTAATTGTAAGTGTAGAGATTATACACCTTTGAATTTGGATTAGTGAACTGGAAGCCATTCTTATTCGATGTGTGAGTGTCCATAGAGGGCATAAAAAATGTCATATAATGCAGTGAGACGACAAAAAGTAACAGCGACACTTTTGAATGAAGGTGTAGATACCAATTGTCAGTTGTGCAGAAAATTGTTTTCTTTATCCTGTTCACTATTTATATTTACAATGTTTTGAGTTGCGAAAATAAACTATACAGTTGTCTTGTTAATTGTGAGAAATAAAATCCAACAGCGCAGATGTTTACTGATAAATGGACTCTCAACCAGACATACGTGAAACGTATACTTGATTGAGCGTTGACTATTTCATATGTTGTTCGACAACTGTAGACTACGACAAAAAATGTTGTAAGTTTATTTGAAAAAAAGAACGACTCATGTTCATTTTATGGTTATTTATTCTAATCATGAAAACCACAATTCTTTTTAGGCAAAGGAAAGAAGCTCTCCGAACTTTCCTGATTTTCTTCAGCCTAGATTTGTCATTTGAAAAACATCTTTGTGCAAAGCTAATCTACTTGCGCCGTCATATTTCGACAACGTTTTTCTCCGTTAAGACTGATCGTATTTTCTAAAACTCGACGTCCGGCAAAACGTTGGAGATCTTGAGTTGGTTTCAACATGTGGCTAAAGATTGAGAAGACTCAATTTTTGAATTTTACTTAAGTTTTTGTCGACACAAGGATTCGACTATATCCCAGCCTTACAACACTTATTAATTCGAAAACTAAATATAATGAAATTATCAACCCACTCTTTTCGCCAGCAATACTTCGCATTTTTTATAAACGGTGGGTATATTTACCGCTATGGACAGGTTTGTTGTGACATTTCGAGAATTCGATCATCACCATCTCTCATACACTCTTCGATTACGTTGCATGCTACTTCATAATCCTGAAGCGTGTAATGAGATGGTAATTCATCGATCCTGTCTTTATACGACTCATTTGTGACATTACAACATGGACAAAATTTGAAGGCGGACACGCTTTCTTTTCTTCCGTGTAAAGCTTGTTGTGCCGGATAATCCCCAAAGTGTTATGAATAAGGCAACATGATAAACTTTTTTTACACCATTAATAATAACCTCGAGTCCATCTCTGCCCATTTTCTGTAATGCATGCACAAAATCAGCTGAAACACAACAGTAAAGAACTAAAATAAATTCTACAACACGCAAGCGATGTTTCCTCAAACAGTCACTTTTATGCGACAAATGAGATGTAGAATATAGTTCCCGTTTTAATGATTATACCGGTAATTTGTTGTAAAACATCTGCTGATAAATTCTCTTCGGGACTCGCAACGATTAACCGTGTTGCAGCCTGGCTAGAACGATGATCGCGACGTAAATTCATTAAACTCCAGTAAAACAAAAAGATTTTGTGAACATGATTAGATATTGCATTTGTTATGCATAAACCATCTAAGAAAGCAAGCAGCAAATTAATATGATACGAACAGTTCAACTATACGTTCTTTACCAGAAGAAAGTTCAATTTTAACAACATCACGGTTCTTAAAAAACGAATGTGTTTGAGCAAATTCACCATCATGAATATCTAACATGACTGGATATGTGGATGATCTTTTCGATAATTCGTTCAAATCAGCTTGAACTTCAGGTAGTTTTAAGAAATACCTTAACGCATCAGTGAACGAAACATAACTATAGTTAATCAACAAATCTTCGCTATTTTGTTGTGGGATCTAAACAAGAAGCTATTATTTGTAACGAAAAATTAAGTATAAACCATGCGGCTTACTGTAATAGTACGACTTTTAGGAGGATTATAACTATACCAATTCTCTGCTAACGTTAATCGAGACGGAACATTTGACAGTTTTCTTATATACTCAATGCATCTTCTAAGATCCTAAAAGTCTCCAGGTTATTCTGGGATAAAACATTCTATCACAAAGCATTATATCATCTCATACATACTTCAACATGATCCACTGCCCATTCCAAGATATCACATAAACTTAATGCAACATAGGATACGGCAGTTTCAGAAACAAAAAACATAGATTGTAACGTTAATAAAAAATGTAATATTCGTTTAAGAAACAACACAACACCATCTTCGTTAGTAACATGGGTTGAGTTTTGCTCATCGCAATTTTGATTCAAGCGTATGAATGAGCTCCCATGTTCTTCATCCAGATCGATTATCATTCCCTCATCATCATCGTCATTATTATTCTCCTTTTGCTCATTATTATCTTTTGTACTGATGTTTCCGTTATGATATTTGCTGATATGCTGAGAAAAAGCACGTACGTTCTTAAAAGTTGTATTACATATGGCACAGGAAATTATGAAATTTTTATTTGTACTGTGTGTTTGAACATGACTGATATATCTCTTCAAGTAAGGCGTACTAAAACCACGTGACGCACAGCGATAATCCTCAGCAGACATTTCCTATTAATAAAAATAAACAGAAACAGCATCAAAATGCATGAGCTAAAATATGTGAGAAACCGTGAGTTGTGCCTAAAGATGTCAACAAAGTATCCAAAAATCTAAACATTGAGTTTATTTTTGAACAAAAAAGCAACTTTGACAGACAAGCGTTTAACCAACATGATTATAGCATTGAATCGAGTGACAGAATTATTCTGAATGAAAAATTTATTTTCTAGTCCATAGTGCGCTAGTCGCTCGCAGTTACTTTTATGAATGGTCGCATCAGTGGCAGCCGCTTCAGTGACTGGTCCGTTGTGTGCCAGTCGCTTTTGCGATTAAAGCGACTGAACCTAAGTCACTTTAGTGGCTAGCCCACTTTACAGTGTAATCCAAATCGAAAGAAAGTTTATAATCTCTATGTAATAGAAAGTGTCACATATTGACATTTTCGCCCTTTTTACGTTCTTATAAAACGAAGTATATTTAATATAATTGAAAAACATTCCAGGAAAACCAGTTTACATAAAAGCGAACTTTCGATACTTCACATGATGGTACTGTCGGAAAATAACGAAAACTTCAACGCGCCCGTTGAAAAACTCGTATATTCTTGATGCCATAAGGGCAGAGTAGATGTCTAGTTTTCATTATCTAGATAGTGCAGCTGCTGAGAGATAAGGATAAGGATTCAATTATATTAAATATACTTCGTTTTATAAGAACGTAAAAAAGGCGAAAATGTCAATATGTGATACTTTCTATTATATAGAGATTAAAAACTTTCTTTCAATTTGGGTTAGTGAACCGGAAGTCATTCTTATTCGATGTGTGAGTGTCCATAGAGGGCATAAAAAATGTCATATAATGCAGTGAGACGACAGGAAGTAATAACGACACTTTTAAATGAAGGAATAGATGCAAGAAAACTTTTATTATTTCATCTTCAAATAGGATGAAGCATCTCATGGATATTTTAAGAGCTAAAAAAAGATCACATTGAAAAACAAACCAACATGGAAAGTGTCGTTTTATCTCAACTAACCAATGAGTTATATTGTGTATTGGTACCCATCTATCTTGTGATTGGAACAAGTGGAAATGTATTTAATGTGCTAGTATTCACCCGCAACACATTGAGATGTTCCTGTTCATTGTATCTGTTGGCGCGATCTATCGTTGATCTATTCTTTCTATACTGGGCTGTGCTCATCAATATGTTTAGTCTTGGTTACAACAACAATTTCGCGTCAAAATCAGTCGTATTTTGTAAATTGTGGACATACGTAGCGCAGACATTGTCATTTTCTTCATCATGGCTGCTCGTGGTCGCGTCTTTTGATCGTTTTACTATAAGTTCATCCAGTATGAAGGTGCGAAAGTTTAGCCAGTTGAATGTGGCAAAATATCTCATTCTCGCAGTAATTTTACTCTCATTTCTCATCTTCGCTCATATACCATACTTCTTCGAAGTTATCTCTTTTTCTCCTACCTATTCGATCTGTTTTCCGACAAACAGTGTTTATAATCAATTTTCAACGGTAATTTACATGTTATTAATCGCTCTTCTTCCACCTATTCTTCTCTTAACTTTTGGTATCTTAACACTAAACAATGTTCGCTCTCAACGAAATCAAGTACACGCTGCTAACAACAGAAACACTGGTTTGCATCGTCAAAGAGATCATCAAATGATTCGTTTAATGTTAGTCCAAATGATCTCATACATTATTCTCGCTCTGCCCTCATGTGTCGCGTATGTCATGTATAGTTTCATATCTATACAACAAGCCGCGCCATTACTCAATTTCTTCCTTCTCTCGTCCTTTCTACTCCAGAACATCATTAGCATCAATGGTTTCTACTTAAATATACTCTCCTCAACCTTATTTCGGCGAGAATTTTTACAAATTCTAAACACTATAACGAAACGTGCATTCCATTCGACGATAATTGAACGTCGGTATTTGCAACAAAGTCACGTAGTAACTTTGTCATTAAGACAAAATTTAAGAACAGTTACTCAAGCGAAATAAACACTTTTTCTGCCAAGCTGCTCTAATTTTGTGGTATTTAACATATATATATATATACAAGAAACCGTGTTGGATGGTCTCCTCTCTTTCTGTGATCTGGATCAATCGGCGTGTGGTCCATGCTTGTGTTACTACTGTTTCGTCCATTATTAGCGGATGTTTTTCCTGACCTTAAATGCATTGCAAACGAAGCGCATTCAGTAATATCCGTTCAAAATAAATTTGAGTACAATACATTAAAAAACACCTCTGACTACACTAGCAATTTGCATAGATTGCAATATATTTAAGATCAGGAAAAACGCAGAAAATCAATGGAATTCGTAGCAACAGAATAGCTTACGTGAAATTCATGAATACAGTACTACGAAAGATGCAATTAACGTTTTTATCCCCAAAACACCCTTCTGAACTCAATTCACTTCATCACGACCTTGATACTATGTTTTCATATACATTTGTGCCAAAGAATTTTCTTCAACTATTTTTCGCTGAAGACTCTTTTTCCAATAATGATTTCAATTTTGCTATTGATCAACATTGTTTTTCTTAATTAAACTAATTATTTTTTAGCTAATTAATCTTAGCGCAAACCGATACAGTGAACACGCACATCTCAATGTGTTGTGATTGATCCAATCACAAGATAAATGAGCATCAATACACAATATAACTCATTGGTTAGTTGAGATAAAACGACACTTTCCATGTTGGTTTGTTTTTCAATGTGATCTTTTTTTAGCTCTTAAAATATCCATGAGATGCTTCATCCTATTTGAAGATGAAATAATAAAAGTTTTCTTGCATCTATTCCTTCATTTAAAAGTGTCGTTATTACTTCCTGTCGTCTCACTGCATTATATGACATTTTTTATGCCCTCTATGGACACTCACACATCGAATAAGAATGACTTCCGGTTCACTAATCCAAATTGAAAGAAAGTTTATAATCTCTATATGATGGGACATATTGGTTTTTTTATAACATGAAGGATATGTAATATAAGTGAAATACATTCCAGCAAATCGTTTCACATACAAGCGAGCTTTTGATTCCAATTTTGCTTTCCCTCGATTTCCTCAAATTCTTATTCTCTTATTCCCATTGTTTTCTTAAATTCTTCGGTCGGAATTGTGTGATTAGAGTCAACTAAGTGAAATGGCACATTTCGACTGTGCACTAGTTCCGCAGTAATAATGCTACTGTTGAACTACCAGGCCTTATGTTTTTGAGTTCGTTGTTCACCAGAATGAAAGGAAACAAGAATTAGTTTTGACTCAATTTAGATTCTTTTGTTTTTAACGTACAGAAAAACGTTTCAGCAGGATTACTATTAACCAACATTAGCTGCTCTCATTCAAAGTTGAATATTCTACAACATGCACAAGATTATTTGGACGAAAAAGAAAGGCATGCTTTTGTATAATATCTGATGCTGAATGAAACATAAATTTTTGATGCTTTACATATGTAAATGTTTGAAACCGATCTCATTTCATCATTGCACTTAAACTGGACAACTTTCGACATCAGGCTTTTATTATCTAATTCTACACACTGCTCAATAAAAAACATAATTCTGTTCGTCAACGTATTTTTGACTACTTCGACGATTTCGACCAATGAGTTTTTTGGCCCCACTTCTCCACTACATTCACGTTCTTCCTTTTTCTCTTCCTACCTTTCGAACTGTGTCACACTAAATTTATTAGCTTTGAACTGCGCTAGATCGATATTGATATCTGATGGTCTACCATGAGTTTTTCCCTTAAAAGTATTCCTTTTCATTGTCCGAAAATAACTTTCAATTCGAGCATTTGAGTGACGAATACGATTGTATGTTGATTCTATCGTCTTCTCAATAATATTTGAATACCGCTCCTCGAAATGTCACAACAAACCTGTCCATAGCGGTAAATATACCCACCGTTTATAAAAAATGCGAAGTATTGCTGGCGAAAAGAGTGGGTTGATAATTTCATTATATTTAGTTTTCGAATTAATAAGTGTTGTAGGGCTGGGATATAGTCGAACGGCTTCATCATTGAAAAGTGATTGAGGGATGATGGTAGTATTGGAACGCAAATATTCGTCGCCCGCTTTCAATTGATCTTTCTTTTTTCTAGCTTTTTTGGATATCTTCTTGTCATTGATCAAAGAAGGTCATACAGTTGTTTGATATCGTTGCAACACAAGATAAAGGCAAATATATGCAGGATGCCTTGTCGAATTTTTTTCTCCACCTTTGCTGTTGTCAAACTTCATGCGACAGCATGAACGGCATGGTAACAACAGAAATGTATGTACGACAAGGGTCGCAATTGTTGAGTATTGTACTTATCACACAGAACATTCCAACGATTGAAATGAGTCTTAATGTTTTCTCCATTGAATGCTTGAAGAGCTGCATGCATGATAACAGGAGAAAAGTCAATCACAAAATAGAGGGGAGAATTAATTTTCCTTTCACTTGGGCAATACTCTGTGCCAAGCTTCCAAAGAAATAACCAATGCTCGAAACAGTGTGATCGCTAAGAGCACCATAAAACAAGCGGAATAGTATCATTCGAGTCATTCCCGTCTTTAAAAGCGAGCGCATACAGCAAGAAACATGGAACATTTTTTTGAGCACACTTCCTGTAGCATCACTATGAACGTAAGAATATTCCTCTTTGTTACAGTACCTGATATATCGTTCGATTTGTGGTTCCGAAAATAGATGCACACGAAACGGCATTTCATCAACGACTTGAACGTATCCTTTGGATAGAAGCAGAAAATATAATTAATAACAACTTTCCTCTCTTACGAGTTCGGCATACCTTTAACATCATTGAATGTCACATCCACGGTAAGATACGCACGAG